CAGTTTTTGTATACCATCATCAAAGAAACTTCCCGCCAGTTTCGATAACCACGACTCGACAGCATTTTTTGTGTCATCGTCAGATCCAAAGCGCTTGCCACCAAGTCGCGCTTCATGTGCAGGAACAAGTGATAGTCGGACGGCGCCAAGTCCGGGCTATACGGCGGGTGATCGAACTGCTCCCAATGAAACTGTCGAATTAACGATTGAGTGACACCAGCAGTATGGGGACGAGCATTGTCATGGAGCAACACAATTCCTTTACTGAGCATTCCTCTTCGTTTGTTTTGAATGGCACGCCTTACTTTTGTTAAAGTCTCACAATATCGGGCCGCATTAATGGTTTCACCTCTGGGAAGAAATTCAGTAAGCAAAACGCCTTTCCTATCCTAGAAGACAGTGCACATGATTTTTTGTAATGACATTGTCACTTTGAACTTTTGTTTTTTCGGAAAATGAGTGTGTCTCCACTCCATCGATTGTTGTTTCGATTTTGGTGTGAAATGACACACCTAAGTTTCATCACCTGTCACAATTTGGTTTAAAAAGTTTTCTCTCTCATCACTGTACCGCATGAGAACTGTCAGGGCACTACCAAGTCGCTTTGTTTTGTGAACATCAGTGAGCATTTTTGGAACCCATCGGGAACACAGTTTGCGATAATTCAAGCGGTCAGACACAATTTCGAACAAAACAGTACGTGAAATTTGTAGAAATGCCTCTGAAAGAATTGTCATTGTGAAGCGTCTGTTCTCATGAATTGCTTCATCAACTTTCCTTACCAAATCATCGGTGAGAACAGAAGGCCGACCACTCCGAGCCTCGGCGTGGACATTTGTTCGACTTGCATTAAACATTCTTACCCACTTTCTCACCATTACATCACTTATCGCGTATTCACTGTAAACTTCTGTCACTTGACGATAAATTTCGGCCGGTTTAACATTCCTCGCTTTCAAAAATTTAATAACGGCACGAATCTCACAGTCAGCGGGAGAACTAATTGTCTTAAACATTTTGAATGTGCACAGCAAACTGAAAACACAACATAGAGCAACCAAAATGGCGACAATTGAAAGTCAGTGAACAAGAAAGACTAGTGCGCATGCGCGGGACGCCTACCACAGCGCTGCGACGGCGCTAGAATGAAACGGTACTTAGTTTCCGAATACGCTACGTACATTGTTGATCTGACGTCAACCTGGTGAATCATTATTTATCATACTTTCCTTCATCATCATATGTTTATCAAAACATAACAACTTGAGTATGACTTATGTAGCGATGCCTAAACAATATTTTTTATGTTAGTAATTGAATAATAAAGGAGTATGGTAATCTTTTATGTTGACATAATGCTTGGCGACGATTACAGATTTAAGTTAAATGTGCTAAAAAATGTTGATGAGGAAAAATTTACCAAAAATTTCTTTCCATATGCTAAAAACAGATTTTGTTGATGATACTCATAAACCCAAAGATTACATTTAGGGCTATTTGAATTAAGAATAACTGATTTGTTATTCACATAAACCCAGAACCAGCACAAGGGCTCGTATGGCCACACTGAGTCGTAGGATTTAGGACCCATGGAGACTGCATCAGATGGTAAGATATCTAGCGCCGGCCCTCAATAAGGCTTAAGTATAAGTGGGAATTTATTTATTCAGAATTCTGATAAGCCTTAAGCATGTGCATGAAATAGACATAAGTATAATAAATAACTAAACTGATACAATTCATGCTTAATTGTCTCAGAGCGCGATAGAAGCAAGATAAATTTAACGGAACAACTTGTCATTAGTTGCCAAGCTCATGATGCATAGCCAAATATGTATAGTGAAGGACAGCTAAATTTGATGATAATAGCCGCTAATTTTAAAGGTTTTCAGATATCGCAAACCAAAGGTGAAATTTTATAATTAACGGATTTTGTTAAGAAATTTAGAGAAGCAGTAATAAATGAGGATGATATAAAAGTTTTTCATTGTGATAATAATGCTCATCAATCAATTAATGATTGGCAAAATCTATAGTATGTTTCTAGATCCAGAAAATACTGCTACCGATAGTGAAGAAAGTGACAGAAAAGTTACTGAAAACGTGAAAATTTCGATTGACAAGTTAGTCAGAATTCTCGAAACAGCAGTTATAGAACTTCAACAACGTAACTAAACAAGAGATTATGTCTGTCTGCAGAATTAAAGAGAAAGTATTAGCACAAAAAACGAAGCAACTTAAACAACTTACATTGAAAGAAATGTTTAATAAGGTAAACAAATGAATATTAAGCTTTTTTTTTTTTTTTTTTTTTTTTTTTTTTTTTTTGTAAATTTTGATACCCTTTTGATCATAAATACTTCATTATTTCATAAATGCAATTTCATATTTTTAATTTTATAACTTCTACATGCCATCTTGCTAGATTTGAACTGTTGATCTAATTTACGAAAAAATCCCAAACCTGGAATCGCCGAAGTCCCGACGAGTCCAGATCTCGGACTTTGTGCTGTATTATAAAAAATATCTGATGTTTAAGTAATTTCTATCATTTACTTCACAAGGAGAAAAGGGGGTTTGTCTGTGTTCAGTGGGCCCGTTGGCAGTGTTGCAAAGTGCAATTTGACTAACAAAAAGATCATGCTTTGTATCTGGTGGGATTGCCGTGTTATTATCCACGAAGATTATCTGGAAAAAGGTAAAATCCTCAGCAGTAATGTGTACAGTGAGATGCTAGTCCGTGTTGACACTGCTGTCAAGGAAAAACATAAAAGTCAGTTCCAGTGCAAAAAGGTAATATTCCATCAAGATAATGCAAGACCACATGTGTCTGCGTTCATCGGCTGGACTCTGCATGGACTCGAATGGGATCTTTTGCCACATCCACCATATAGTCCTGATGTCACTCCTTGCGACTTCTATATTTTTTCACACCTGCAGCTACATCTTGCTGGTGCTATCTTCCATTCTGCACTGGACGTCCAAAATGATGTTAATCTGGTTTTGGATTCGTCACCACCAAGTTTCTAGGCCGATGGCTTTGAAAAATTACCAAACTGCTGTATGCTTATCTACTTGCTCACACTTGCACAAAAAATTAATTAATAACTCCAAGAAACTTTTATACAATAAATATAATGGGAAACCATCAAAATCCTCTCCTAAACTGTGAGATTTGTTGATAAAAATTCTCTCCTAGCATTTCAAATCTTAGAGTTCTTGTGGGCAAAAAAGTCTACAAAATGAAACATTGTTCAGTCTCATAGTTTGAAACCACTCCAGAAGAGCACTTTCTCCACTTCTTGATTTTCCATCCCTTTTTTGCTTCTCTGAGGACATAAGCATTTTTATTAGTTCCTCAAAATTACAATTTTTAGTTTATGTAACCTGTTTAGAAAATTCCCTATTTAAATGCAGTTTCTCTTTGGCTGCACTACTAATAGGATAAGAATCTTTCAACAATTTATCCTTTTCTTTCAAGCTTAAATCTTTTTGCTTGGGCATTTTTGACAAGATACACACATAGCATATTAAAAAATGTTCTGCCAATGATTCGTTCAAATTTAAAATTCATATTTCTAGCAACAATTTAATACTTTTTACAAGTATGACCAACATTTTGTTTACTTCTTCGCATGCCTATAGCAACCACTTGCTTCTCCATTCAAAAACTGATATTGCCTCCTCCGCATGAGGTGGCATTCAAGAAGGAAACCTAAACTCATTTAAGTACTACCTTTTCTTTAATCTTGAAGAATGCTCATCCATAAACCTATAGAGGACTGTTTTAGTTAACCTTAAGAAATTCTGCCACTTTCAGCTTCAGTCTTGATTAAGAGCTTTGTAAACAATATCTGAAAAAGTCCACGGGAGAAGAGAACTAAACTAACTGAAATTCAGCTAAACTTATTTTATTGAAGTTACATAAGAGAATGATAAATAAGTCATAGATAAATTCTTTTTCCTCATAAAATAACAAGACTATTAAATGCAGACTCTAGTTACTCTGATGAAAATTCAGTTTTACTGAGAAAAAAAAAGCACTAAAAACCAATTTAGTATTTGATTTGTGATCAAAATTAAGTTCTATAGTACAGATTTATATAACAGACAGGAGCATTAACTATTATGAAACCTGTTTTTCTTTAAATTATATTAATCTTTTAAAAAAAAAATCACGTTTTTTTAAAATTATACTTTCTTCAAATGATTTAATTTACTATAGATATAATTTTGCAGATAATAAAATTTTTTACTTTCATTATAATATGAATTTCCATCGAAAAAACTCATTTAAAAAAAATATAAGTTTTCTCAAATTAATAGTAAAATAATGCAAGTGAAAATTTTCTTAATTACTAAAATCTACCAATCTACATTTGGCAATGATAATAAAACAGAAAGAATATATCAAAACTATTACAGCAGGTCAAATGAAAGCATATAAAATTTACCAATACCAAATAATTCGAATGCAGGAAAGTTAAATGATGATAAAATTTATAATTATCTTAAACTGTTAATAGGAATATACAATTTATACACATTTAAAAATTCTCTGTGATAAAAAGATTTAAGAATAGAATTTTATACACTACAAAAATTTATTATGAGGAAGAAAATAGTAGCACTATCCGATATTCGCTAAAAGAAAATACCAACGAAAATATCCTATTTTAGTAACATCTGAAAGATAAATGGTAAAAAACGCGATTTGATTACAATTTTGACAAGTTTTTTATATGATCATGTAAAGGCATCATTATAACTTGGTTAAAGATCTGCACCATATGATACACATATAGCTTATACTATGAATCTACCAAACTAACAAAGCAACTAGCATTGTTATACCAGATACATAGGCCAGCTTATATATGGAAATAATTGTACATTTAAATAGCATATGATTAATTAATGGATTTCCTACTGCAAATAGTACTTTGATTACATTCAAAATATTTTTAAAACACGAATATATACGACAAGTTGATACTCACAAGCTGTAAACCTCACGAAAAATTAAACATTAATAGAACGGTTATTTGAAGTTGATTACGAGAACATGAATTTTGTCCGTAATCCTTGTAATCAGCTTACGAGTGATGAATGTGAGGACACAAAATACTTGGACTGAATTTCGTAATCTATTAAATATTGGTACTTTAATTCAGATGTCATTAGTTTCGAGATAAGAATTCAAACTTAGATACTATGCTTATTTCTGTCCCCCCTTTTCTTTCTTCTTTTTTGTGAAAGAATAGAACACGTGCAAGTAATTTACTTCTTTAAAAACTTTGACCTTAAGCAAGCTTCAAGGTGTCATTGTAGGTTACTTTACTTATCCCCGTTCCCCGTAACGTGAGCAGAGAAACGACAAACGTGTATTTAAAATAAAAAAGTCGCCAAGTTTGAAACTATGTGCCAAAGTCAAATGTTCATTGTTAAAACATGTTGAAAGCTTTAAAATAAATCATATGACATGTAGTAAAATATGCTATCAGGATTTCACAAAACAAAAAAAATATATGAAGCAAATTTTAGTTAATTTATGTGTTTAAAAAATTTTCAAATTGTCCGACAGATTAGTTACCCCAAAGTTCTTATTCAAATTCATTGATTATATTGCAAGAAAAACGCATTTGAGAAAATTAAACAATTTTTTTAAAGAAGTCGGTAAATATATAACTCCAAAAAGATTGGTAACGTAAGCACATAAATGCTAACTTTCGCCAATTAACCACGCCCTGAGGCATTACTGCGTGCGAGAGTACATACGGTATATATATGCGCTGAATTTGATGTTTTGACCTTCACAAGGTTATTTGCAAGTGAACAGTAGTCTTGTAACGCTACGTGCAAATCGTAAGTAATTCCTTTAAATTTTAAAGGACCTCCTTTAGTTCCGTTTTCATATTGAAAGTTTCAGCGGGTTGAGATGTAGTTATGAGTGAAAGCATGAAAAGTAACTTAAATACGATTGAATTCAGTTGCCGGTATAAAAACTTCACACTTGCCGTCGTGGCTTAGAATATATAACCCAATTCCTTTTATTTTTTGAAAAAAATATGTTTAATAGAAATTTACTTTACATTGGTATCAACTGTAAATCTGCAGGTGCGATGTGTTTTCAGTTCACGAGAGATCTCGTGTTATAATTTAATGCCGGTTGGTTGCTAGGAGCCGAATGTCATTTGGAAGCAAGTTGCAGTTGATTTCAAAATTTGTGTATTAGAATAATCTTTAACTTTGGTGACATATATAACGTGTTAAGCGCTTTCTGAGGGCTCTCATCAGAGATATAAAATTTTGTTATTAATTTTCAAGTTCATCGAGTATGTATCAATAGACATTTGTATATAGGTTTATTTAACGGTAATGAATTTCGAAAGTACCATTTATTTCAGTGTTGAAAGTTTAAAATGTTTTCCTTATGTTGGTATTGAATACACTTAATTGTTATAACCAATTCCTTATTTAAAATCTCTTCTGATGATGTAAGTCCCTCTCTTTGTAACCCATCCGTTATTTTAAATCCTGGTCTGATGACTTCAAAACCCTAAAGAAACGTTTTAATTAATCGCTGGTTGATACTTCGTACATTTAAGCATTGCAATGCTCCATATTCCATCTGATCTTGCTTATTTCATTGAATTGATAAAAAGTGACAGGAAATGTGAAGGTTAAATGTGACAGTAGAGGTCATGATTATACTAATTTTTTTCAATTATTTTTATCATATGTCATTAGAATATGTAATTACTGTAGCATATTTTCATATCCTTATTGAATTTCACAAACTATTTGTTTTCATTTAGCACAAATTTTGCAGATTGCATTTTTTAATTAGTGAAGCTAACTTTTCGTTTTCTTCTGCAGCTCATACTTAAAAACCCTCTAAAATTTCATGATTTAGAATGAAAACCACATACAATACACAAATAATTTGCAGGCTAGAAAGTATTCAGTGCAAAAATAAGCATTTAGGAAGTTCCTTTCAGGATTGCCTTTTGTTATTAATTGCATGAAACGGTAAAAATATGTATTAGCCAAAATGTCATTTTTCTCCTTACTTATATTTTTCTGAAAAATATGCAAATTTTTCTTTTTCTTCTATTTTTAAATTCCTTATAGTTCTAGCATGAGAGTAAATGATTCATTATTTCATCTGATGAAAATAAGCTTTTCAAATGCTTTAAAAAGATTCTAGGGGGGTTTATGATACATTTCACTATATTTTGTTCCAACATATTTAATATTTAATTTGTCATAGATGCAATTTCTGGAAATTGGCTCTTTATGAAACCTGCGAAATTCATTTGAATTGAACATGTTTCCTTTAAATTAGTACTGCAAATTAAAGAACCAAAGTCTTTTGAAATCTTGCTTGGTAATATCTTATATACCCAGAAATCATAAAACTTGTTACAGATTCATTTAGCTGTGATTATAAGTATGCTACCATATTGTAGAAACCAATTAAATAAAATAGATTTATGTATTGTGTTATTCTGATGATGGTGATATTGCGGTAGGATATGATGATTGACTTTCAAGTTTAGGTTAAAATAACACTCTGAACAACGATTATTTTAGAAATCAAACAGGCCCACCAGCACTCAGCGTTAAAGTCGCTGAACATTAGTAGTTCAGTCTGAGGTTTGAATCGCGCGAACAGGCTGGCTGCATGGATGTTTTCGTGGTTTTCCCCATGTGTAACGTGTATACGAGCCTGTTTCCCTTAGAAAGTCCTCCACGAAGGCATCCCTTCCCTTAGACGGATAGCTCTCGACTTTGACATAATTAAATAGCCTAATCTAATTTGGAAGTCAAACAACAAAAACCGCCTTATTTTTGCAAATTTACCAGAAAAAAATTTGCCTTCTAAAATAATGACATTCAAATGTAAAAAAAATTCCCTTTGAAAGACTGCAATGTGCCAGTTGCCATTAGTGATAGAATGTTGAATATTTTAGTTCTTACTAATTTATCAGTATTTCTATATTTAATCATATTAAGATACAGACTAAATGTAAAGATAAATTGAAAAACAGTTTCTGTAATTTTCCTAATGAGATATTTCCTAAATGTTAACTTAGCCACGAGATTTGTTATTTACTTAATGCTATAACTGGATGTAAATGTGTACCTAGTGGCCAAACAGATAAAATAAAAAGGTTCTGTATTTTAATCCCAACAGCTGAATAGGCTGAATGCATGAGATTGATTTTGTTTAAGGCAAAATAAAATATTGATCAGTTTTGGAGATTTTTTTGTAAAAGACATCTGAGCCCACCAGCTGCCCACTGGTAGTTTGGTCCGAGGTTCAAATCCCACAAACGGGCTGGCTGCATGGCGTTTTCGTGGTTTTACCCATATGTAACGTGTATGCAAGCCAGTTTCCATTAGAAAGTCCTTTCAACTAGCATTCAACTACTCATGTTGTTATAAATGAGACAACTTGGCGATAAATGAAACGGCAATTTAGCTATAATAATAAAAGGGGTAACCTAAAGTCAACTCTAACAAACTTATGTTTCAAGTAATAATTTTGATGCAACAGTGTTTTTAGATATGCACTCTGAGGGTTATGTGTGCAGTTATGATTTAAAAGAAATATACATAAATTATTTAGGTAAAACATAGGCATAAAACATATTAAGGTATGTGGTAAAAAACATATTTAAGGTATTATGGTAGCGTTTTAAAATATCTCGCTTTTTGTCAAAAATCTTGCCAGAAAATTAACTTTTCAAGGGCCGAGCAGCAAGGTAGCTTTATGCTGGTAGTTTGATCTAGGATCAAATTTTAGCAGACTGGCTGACTATTCAATTTTATGGAGTTTTCCTTGTTCAATGCAAATATGAGCCAGTTAGCATTAAAAAGTGCTCTATTAAGCATCCTTGTGCTTAGGCAAATAGCTTGAAGTTGTTTTACCTTACTTAACCTAATGTAACGAAAGTTAAAATTACTTTTAAAATGTAATTAAAATGGGTGTTTTCGGGGTTTTCCCTATGTGTAACATGTATACGAGCCAGTTTCCCTTAGAAAGTCCTCCACGAAGGCATCCCTCCCCATAGGCATATAGCCCTAGTGTTCTTTGCACACACACCTTTCAAAGTATGAAGTTTGAGTATCCTGTTATTGTTCTCATGATGCCATGATCCTGAGCAAATTTTTGGATTGACATATTTGACCTCATTATGCAAACTAGCTTAAAGTATCCTGTTTGGGAATTAAGTCGGTTAACATAATCAGTTTTTAGTAACTATCATAGTTGCTTTCATTATTTTAAATTTATTTGGATAAATTTGATGCAAAAGTAATATGTATTGATTTTTAATATAAGAATGACTTTAACTTTCTAGAAGATAATATGTAAATTTCTAAAATCTTAAAAAAAATATATTTTTTATTTAAATAGTTCAAATATTGGGAAAGCTACAACTGTGGGTTTAGTATAGCCAAGATTCTATTGATTTCGAAGGCAAATGCTACAAGTTCCTCTTCATCAGGAGCATCCGAGTTCTTTGCTCCTGGTGAAAAGAGACCTGTACCTGTTTGCCCCCTAAATCGATAGTCTTGATTAAAATCTCTGCTAAACAGAAGCTAATTATTATTTTGGCATGTTTCTCTTCTGTCTTGAGTTCAAATATTATGGAAAGAATTTTATTATATTTACAAAACTCTGAATTTTTTCAGTGACTTAACCAACTTTCGAGTGTTTTTGTCAAATAAAAGTAAGTTCGACCAGAATAAGTGTTAACTTTTTTTTATAGACAGTCTCTTGAATTTATTGGATAATCTTGCAGTGTAATGTATTAATCAACTATATGTTTATTTATGTTAAATAATCCATATCTTCTTGTTGTATTGTGGAACTAGAAGATTGACTTTTCTTTTCATCACACTGCATAAATGTTTATTTTGCAGTAGTATTACAGTAGACTCTAGTATAAGTTATTTATTGTTTTATTTAATATCTGTGTTGTATTTTTAGCATTATTAAAAAATATTTTTGCTGTGGGGAATATTCTAGACATTTAGAATTTAACTTTTATTTTAAAGGTGATAGTCTTAAATATGAAAATTCTGGATTTCATTTTTTCTATACATATATCTTGTAGACATTTTAAGAACAAGTCTAAATAACTGATTTATAAAATTTTTACAGCACTAAAGTGTTCACAGAGAAGAATTGCCTAATTTTTGGAAGTGAATTGATGTCATTTGTTATTAATTTTAAATGGAAAATGTTTAGCATTAGCTTCGAAAAGTTTTTCCCCCCCACCCGAAGCTGTAATTATCTGCCGTTGCATGAACTCTGCTAAGTATGACTTCAAATAGTGTATTCTATATTCCTATGTTTCTTGTCTGTTATTTTTGAGAACCTCTTATCCACATATTTTATGTGTGAACTCGGAATGTGGATTCACGAAACTGAATTTGTAGTTCATATTAAAAGCTGAAAACTGGCTTTTTAAGAATTCTTCTGTTATAGGCAGCCCATGCATCGTAATAAACTGGTCGTTCCTTTTTTGCTATTTTCTCTGGTTGTATTTTAAATCTTGGCTTTTCAGTCGAACACTGTAACAAAAAAGATTTAATTTCCTGGCAAACACAGGTGATGTTTTCTTTTCAAGAACAGACTTTTATCAGTCTCTACATTTAAGCCTTCATCACCTGTTTTTATTTTCATGATTTTATCTCGTGTATATATTTTTCTCTTATTTTTTTCATTGTTTAACAGTAAGATTAGTCATGTTTAATTCTTCTTTGTAATATTTCATTGTTGGTAATTTCCTTAGACCACCTGTTGGTAAATCTGATGCCAGTAATAAATAGTAATCTTTTTCACATGTATAATTAAGTTTTAATGTAAAAGAATATCTTTACCCTCTGACCGGCCAGGTTTTCGTTAAGAAAGCACAAATTTCCCCAAACTGCTATGAGAAAAGATTTTCCTGATTTTAATGTAAAAATTCTCCTGGTATTTTATACTTGGATTTATGTACTTTTATATATTGCCTTAATTTCTTTGACCTATTTTAATATGCACATATATATAGGATCTTGCAGATATCACAAAAAGTATTCTAGATTCTGGTTAGATGGTTAATGTTATAGCTTGTACCGTGTAATATTTTCATAGATTTAGGAAGTTTTATTCATTTGTGTCAGTTCAAACTTTATCATTATTTTGTGGTATTCTTAACTTGTCGATTTTAAAAGGTGTCTTGAGACTTCTCGAAATAAAACATTTTTATCTTCCATGCATCATTCTGTTGCCATTTGGCAAAATGTAAGACTATCTTTTAAATTTAACATGCTGTTATTAAAAGCTGCTTGTTGCCACTGCTAGAAATAAAATACATTTATCTTCCATATGCCACTATGTTGCTATTTGGCAAAGTGTAAGATATTTAATATTTAACTTTCAAATTTAATCTGTTGCTTTATTAGATTAACAAACCAATTAGTTTTAAAGCAATAAACTCGGCTCCTAAATGGTTTTTCTTACTTTTAAATCAGATTAATTAAAAATATCAATATTTTTTAATATATTATAATTACTGTAGGCAGCTAGTTCTTAAAACAACGTGAAAAATTGCAAATTATTTGGAAGGGAATAAAGTGTACAAAACAGAAGGCTAACTAATATTATGGATTTATAAAAGTGTGCAGTCTGCACAGAAGGTTGAATGGTTAAAATATTATAATTAAATAATATTTGGTGCTTTTAACATTTTCCTTTTCTTTAATAGATTTGAACAAGCATGGCCAAGGTAGGAATTAATGGGTATGTAACTTATGAATATTTGAAAATTTATTATATTTAACTTGATAATAATTAAATTAAAATAATGGACATACACATAATTAATAACAATTAATTTTTTTCAGATTTGGACGTATTGGACGTCTCGTACTCAGAGCTGCTCTTGCAAAAGGAGTTAATGTAGTTGCTGTGAATGATCCTTTCATTGATGTCAAATACATGGTTAGTGTCTTAAATTTGCCCTTAAATTTTTAATTTTCCTTTCTGCTGTACATTTTAATTAAGATTCTTCAGTAAGTTTCTCTTGAACCACTTGTTTTTTAAATGGAAACTTTGATGCTTAATGAAGGTTTAATAAATTTTGTAAAGCTCCAATCAATTTACTTCTAAAAGATTAAGACTTTGTATTTAATATAAAACTGAAAGATGTGAGTATATATTCAATGAGCAATGAAATAGTTTTCAAATATTTAAAGTACTAGTGACTCGAGGAAGTGCAACATAAGCCTTCTTTGAGCGTAGGTTGCGAAAACCTTTTTCAAAAGTTGCTGCAAAATAAATTCTCATCAGTAATGAGTGTTGAAATAAGTTTATATGCAACATAAACTTGCCAATTCTTTAGAGTTCTGAAAATATTGAGAACTAGGCCTGGTGACAAAAAATTTTCACTAATTATTCAACTGAATCTAGAAATGATAAATTGGAGTAATTTTTTCACATGCAATAATTAAGTTTTAATGTAAAAGAATATCTTAAACCTTCTGACTGGCCAGGGTTTTTGCTAAGAAAGCACAAATGTCCTCAAACTGCTATGAGATTATTTTCTTGATGTAATGTAAAAATTCTCCTGGTATTTTATACTGGGATTTGTGTATTTTTAATATATTGCCCTATTTTAATATGCACATGTATATACGATATTGCAGATATCACAAAAAGTATTCTAGATTCTGGTTAGATGGTTAATGTGTAGCTTGCAACTGTGTAATATTTTGAGAGATTTAGAAAGTGTTATTCATTTGCGTTGGTTCAAACTTTATAATTATTTTGTGGTGTGTGGAATTTTTCATGTTGATTAGCAACTGTCTACCTTGATAATTATAGGAACAGTAAAGTTTATTTATATATTTGTATGGGATGCCATTTCCATATTACATGCCTAAAAGTGTAATGCATGATTCTTATCCATATTAGCAAGTAATGTTTAGTTTTTCCTTATTCAGTTGTAGAGTCCAGGTTAGTTAAAAATCTATCTGGATATAGGGAGTAGCAGGAAACTACAAAGAAGGGTTAAAACCCTTTATTAATCTTTAAAATTTACAATGCGTCAACTTGACATTAACAAACTTCGCCTCTACTTGGGCGGTAACTGAAAATCAGGTAATTGAAAATTAAAAGTTGAAATGTTTAACAAGTGCTAAAATATGGGGCTCAATGAGATCTTGAATTTCAACTTCCTTCTAAGCTAGTGGCAGCAAAGTAATGCAAATTAAGCCCCTTGAACCAGCAATGAGCAAATGTCCCTACAACAGAGACGGCAGCTAAAGCCTAATTCTTTCTCCTATCGCAACTCAGCTTTTAACTTCTTCCTTCAACATGTAAAATTTGCACGCGTTCACGCGCGTTACAACATTTAACTATTCTGGTACTGACAATTAAGGGATTGAAGGCTTATAGAAAAGTCTGAACTTAAAATTTAAAATATTAGTTAAAATAAATATAATCCCTATACAGTTTTATTTAAAAGTCGTAGTAATCTGAATTTTAAATTTAGAATAGAAATATTTATTAATGATAAGGCCTGAATGGTAATCGGATATCTTGCATTACTGCACATTAAAAGTTTTGTTTAATTTACTGATTCTATATTTGAAAACTGTCAATGAAGAAAGAATATCAAATGTATTGTTTCACGATTTGTTACAAGCAGTGGTGAGCTTTAAGGGTATCTAATTTGTGATCCCCATGTCCTTTTCGTTTATGTGTATATTTTCAGATAGGTGCCGATCTTGCATGTCATAATCATGTTGGTCTTTCTCTTCTCGAAAATTATTTTCGTGAAGTCAGAAATATCAATAACCCACACAGGATTTGATAAATACCAATAAACTATTAGATCTGTTTTTAAATAAATTTGTTGGGTATTAATGTTTCATCAAATAAAGGTCTTGGACTATATAACATATTTCAGACCTCATGATCATCTCCTCATGTGGCAAGTATGTAAAAGAATTTAATCTAAACCCTTGTATAGAAACTTTTTTGAAAAATTGCTTATCCTTAGAACCTCTCAGAAAAAAAGAGAATAATGTATGGCAGCTTCTGGCATAAATTATGCTGTATGTTGATGCATGATTATTTGTATATTCGGTTTTTGCAAAAAGTGAAGCATTTTACTTGAATTTGATTTTTTGTTCTTGTAATATGTAAGCTCTTTGGTAAAATTTACATATCTCATCATTATTAGCAAGGGAAAATCATTATTGCAGATTATTTGGTACTCTTCTGTTATCGTGACCGGATTCGGAAATGTATGTAATGCACATCTGTGTGTGTGTGTGTGTGTGTGTATATACGTACCTACATATATTTATGCATACATAAAAATGCACATTTCTGAATATGATCCTGATAACAGAAAAGTACCAATTATTCTGCTAGGGCATGCAAATGGCTGAATTAAATAATGTTGTGAAAATAGTTGCTCATTTTAAAACGTCTATTAACTGAATAGGTTGATCATTAGTTATTGGAAATAATTTGTCAAAAAAGCATACATTTAGAAATTATATTAAGTGTGAAACATATGGCTCTTCTAATTAACTGATTTCTTTTTAAATTTGTTATTTTTCTATATATTTTTACATTGCTTCTTTAATTTGAAAGGTTTTTATTTTTTCAGCAGTGACTATTTTTCTATCATCCTTGTATCTTTTCTACATTAAATTATTCTAGTATTTGTCTACATATAAACATGTCTGTTAGCATTAAAAAATAAGATTTCTTCAGAAATCTTCATATTTGCTGTTATTTTTATATAAAACTTGTCTACTTAAATCATTTGAACTAAAAGTTTCAGATAATTAACACTAGTTTTTTACTGACATATTCAATTCCGAATGACAGATCATGTGTTTCATAATATAATACTGTTATTAAAGTGTAGTCTTTCTTAAAATTTTTCATAAGAAATAAAACTCATGGTTTTTAAACATTTTTGTAGGTTTACATGTTCAAATATGATTCCACTCATGGCCGTTTTAAAGGTGATGTTCATGAAGAAGGGGGCATGCTTGTTGTTGAAGGGCATAAGATCCACGTCTTCCAAGAGTAAGTTTAGTGTTAAAGTTTCCGAAAAGTATTTTAAAATTGCTTTTCAGAATACTTGATGAAACTGGTGGTTTTTTTTTTTTTTTTTTTTTTTTTTAATACTATCCACATTCTTACTGAAAACTAATGAAAAGTATTCTCATAAAGCAAGGCAATATGTCTTGAAAATAGTTGCATGGCAATCCAGGTATGCACATAGTATGTCTGTTTTTGACCTCTTGGTAATGTGGAATAAATTCGGAGCTGAATTTGTGCAGTTCAGTTTATAAACAAAATCGCTGTGCTACATGGGGAGAATAACGGTACAGGAGATATTTTGAAAAAAGTGTTTTACATGGTACAGTTTTATTATCCAGCAATATAAAATTGCAGTGCAAATATATGCATAAAAGCACCAATTCTAGCATATTTGCCCATTTAACTGCAAATTGCTTGTAAATTTAGGTATTTAAACTGTGCATAAATTTAGATGATTCTAGATTTTTCAAGTCTCGTTTGAAATACCGGTTTAATTTTTGAATTTTTCCATAACTTTGTAGAACTGTCAAAGAATGAAATATATGCAATAGAATTGGAATTTTTCAAAGAAAAGGGATAATTCATAATAGAAAATTTGCTGGTTGGTCGATCTTGTATAGTATTCTCGCTGATCTGCCAATCTGAAAATGGCTGTTGACTCCCATACATTAGCTTGGAGAAAACTTGGTTGTCAGTCAGTTTGCAAATGTTCTTCATAGTTGCTAGCCAGTTTACAGCTTTTTGATTTTAGTGCATATAATTTTTCGGTACTATTCCGTTTTGAGGACCGTAAAAAAATGCAGCGAAAATATATGCGCAAAAGCGCCAAATCTAGCGTACAGGCTGATTTCAAATTGTGCAAGTTTTGATAGTTCTATATTTCTTAAGACGCCATTGAAATACTAGTTTAATTTTTAAATCCTTTTTTGATATCCTATGGACTTAACAATTTTGGAATTGTCCATGAAAACAGTCTGCAATAGAATTTTTTCAAAGAAAAGGCATCATTCATTATAGAATATTATGCTTGAACAACCAACGAGATGAAATTATGCTTTAGTGATAACTTGGTAGCCTTTTTTTATATAAATTATAATAATGATTTGAAATAGTTACTCTTATGCTTCCATTCAGTTATGTTTAGCCGTTTTTATATTAAATTATAATAATAAAAAAGCATTATATAAAATTAACCTTTTATATAACTTAAAACAATAATCTTTAGATAGTTATTTACTATTATACTTCCTTTCTTATTTTTGGTAGCACTGGCATCAACAATAGTTTGGCGATTTTTTACGGTCCTCGAAACGGAATAGTACCCATTTTTCTATTATAAATTTGTTTAGTATTGAGGTGCTTTAACATTAATAGCATAAACTTCGATAGGCGTTATTGTCAAACTACAAAAAACTGTTAATGTGGTTTTTCAGTCAAAAAACAAAAGTTTGCTAAATGTAATTGTGAAGATTTTTGATCTTGAGCAATGTTTATCAAGCATATCAAGAGGCATGGCATTTTTGCTTTTTTAAGGTGGTGATAGTTGTGTAACAACTTGCCAGATTCATAAATATTGGTATAGATCTCGAATTTTAGAAAATATGCTTTAGTGGAACTAAAAAATTTGGATATTTAACCTTTTTAAAGATTAGATGCAAGATGACAAATGTATTTCAAATATATTAACTTGCTCTTAAAATTAACTTGATCATATACTATTATTTATATTTTAATCTGTTCGTAACATTTTATTTACACATATATATTTGTTCTCATGCTGGAAGATCTAAACACATTGCTGTTACATGCATTGTTCTTATTCTGCATTCTGTATCGGTATGTCTTGCAGTGTTATCTGTTGACAGATTATAACAATTATAATGATTCCTCCTTTTTTAATTATGAATTGTGATTTTTATCAGCTTGGGAATATAGAATAAGCTACTGTTTTTATTTTCCTTTTAAAAATTCCATATTCTGCACCATTGTATTTTATGTATCACTTTCTATTATGTGCAATCATACCAGTTAAAATATCTATAATTAATAGAAAATACTCTTTGTAGTTTACTTATATTTTTAAGCAATTTGGAGAATGAGTTCATCTGTTTTTATAATTTATCATTTAAAACAAGAGAACTTATTTCAAAATGGAAAAAAACAGTGTTATAATGTATACAGTACAAAGTCAGATCTGAACTCATCAGGACTTTGGCAATTCCAGATTTGGGATTTTTCTAGATGTTAGATTATCAGTTAGTCTAGTCGGATGACATGTAAAAATTAGGAAATTAAAAATGATTTTATGAAATAATGAAGCATTTATGTAACTTTATGGTAATCAAATTTTCTAAAATAGTCAATGTTTGTTTGCTGTATTATTAACCACTTGTGCTGCGACTAAACTTCACGGATGCGGTGCCGTGCACCACAATATAACAGTTGGTAAAGTGTCTCATTTACGCCGCTCCGCGTCTGTGAGTGCAATTGAGAGCTGCAACTCGAGAAATAAACAATCTCGTTGTTAGGCGACGTGTGCACCACGTTATTTTCATTTTTGCAATAAATGCCTATCGACATGGTTTGAGACAAAAGCATCTTGACATGCATGGCACATCATTTTAGCACAAGTGGTTAAACATGTCTTTCATTATAAGTTGGATAGCAACCCTGTCAAGAATGTTGATTTGGCATGTTTCGGCAGTGGTGGAAAAACAATTACAAATTTGCGCATGTGTAAGAAAAAAATTTATTTGCACTCTGTCGGTATAGCAATTTCTCATTGCAAAAAACTCGTGCTTATTTTCGAATAAAATCATAAATTTTGTTATTTATTATAGTATTAATAATTTATTAAAAAATCGCATGCAAACTGGAAAATTAATTTTTTACAAACTCTTTATAGTGCCCACAGTTCAGCAGTTGCTGCTAATAATGTTCGAAACACATTATTGTGGCCTAATTGGCGACTGAAGATGAATGTGCTGAATAGGACTCCACATGATAGCAAGCTGTACCTCTGTGCTTTTTGTTTTGCCATTTTGTTTATCCCAATAGCGCTGTAAGAAAGAATCTTTCCGATCCACTAAACCAATTCTCAGCATGAAGACTTTTCTTATAGCTGCTTACATTGCATTGTCAAATGGTTTCTTTATTTACATATAATTGTGTACAATGCCCATTTTCACAAATTCTTTCTTTTGGTAAAATACATTTTCTGTGTTTAAAAAGTAATTTTAAAAAAAGCTTCTTTTCCAGTTGATGGTAGATTGAACATAATAAACATGATAAATAATTGATGAAAACCATTATAATTTAAAAGTGAAAATTTTCATTAGCCAAAGAAACATGAACTAGGGGCCATGCACAAAGAACCATTATTTTTTAATCGAAGAGGTAGAGGAAATGCGTTTGCGCATATTTGAGACCGTTGAAAAACTGCTTTATTCTAAAAGCAAAACTTTCAATAGCTGAAGAAATGTGAAATATGAACTGAGTATAAACAAAAAATTGTATTTAACTTTAGAAGAAATGTGCGTGTTCAAATCGGTAACCACGAATGTTGATTTCTCGCCAATGCACCAAATCTGCATTCTCACCACGGCTGTTGCACAAGACCAGTACTATAAGTTATTTAAGTTGCTTTATTTTTGTGAAAATGAAAATAAACTTGGTAGTGCAAACAGCCCTTAAGAGTCATGGCCCGCAGTGTTCTGAAATCTATTTTCTGGATTATGGGCCCTGGGGTGCTTGTGCATGTCGCATGGACAAGTGGTCAGCTTGTCGCAGAACCTCCATTGTTTAGTCCCAAAGCGAACTTTTAAAGTGAAATTAAATCGAATAATGCATTCAACATTCACAATTAGCATGTAGAAATGAAGGTACATTGTGTGGTTTCAGCATTCAAATGGTTTACAGAATTTTATGAGGTGTCGACTCTTCAGGAGGAAGATCATACTGGAAGTCCATTGTCGGCAGTAATTCTGGATAATGTGTCTGTTATGCGGAATATGTAATAGATTATAATCTCTGCATTTACCAAATGATGCAGAAGAATCTTAAAATTGAATCTGCTGCCATATATAAAATTATTCCTGAAGAATTGCACGTAAAAAAACTAGTTTACCATTTGGTTCCTCATAATTTAACTGAGTATCAGAAAGAGGAGCATGTCAGTATCTGTAAATATACATATCTTTTTTTGACATTCCAGCATGTCAAGGAAGTAAAGTATGATAAAGTAAAGATGTAATTTATTCATTTCATGAAATTTTACCTTGCTTTTATCTCACACTGTCAAAGTTAACTGAATTATATTAATTTAGTCATTAGCTTGATGCTTTATTTCCAACATACTTATTCAGGGCTTTACTTATTCTTACACATTTTGTGACCTGGTGCAGCTTCTGAAAATCTTAGATTCTAAAACTTTTGCAGCCAGGTACCTTTTCTATATTCTAAAGATTTTCCTGTCTCTTAGTTTTGTTGCTTGATGCTTCTTTAAATTCTAAAAACTTTGCTTACCATATATTCTGTCACGCTGTTTGGCTGCACCAGCTCTGGCACTGATCTTCGACTTACCTGAATAACAAATTATTCGCCATTCAGATATCATTAAATGTAATCTTTGTGCCTAGTATGATTTATAAAACCGATTTTCTTTTTTTTTATTTCATATGGAAAAAATGTTTGTATGAAATTTCTCTTTATCAACACTTTACAGTGCAGTTAGCTGAAGTCTGTAATTATGGGCAAACGTGATTTCTATATCAAAGGTTATCCTGCTGTTCGTTATTCAGTTGCAAAAATTAAAGAAAAAAAAAAATGTTTGGACATGATTGCACGTGTCATTTCTCAAGCTACCATGTGTTGATAGTCATATGGTGAAAGCAAAAAATTAATTGCCAGGTTTGTATCAGCAATATAAATTTTTCAGTAGATGTCAATTTTCAATATAGAATGTTCAGTTTTCAGGTACATGCCAAGTAAAAAAGGCAGCTATGGAGAAAAATTATTGATCATACGGATTTATGATAAATGATTGTTTTGTCAATATGGAGGTATTTTATGTAGTGCAGATGGACCTCTTCATGCTGTTTGCTATGAAAAAAAGTCAAATGTGCATGCGTAAAACATGTAAGAGGTTGGTCCAGAGATCGACCAGGGGATTTTGGATCATTCCAGATATTGGATATCTGGATTTTAGATCTTATTTCGGCAAATGTCTAAGGAATTCTTAATTACTACGTTAATATAATTTTGTTTAATTTTAACATACTGATTACATATAGCTAATTCAAAGTCAAACTTTTTCTGTTCTAATGAATAAGCTTTTCCTTGTATTTTAAATTTCATGAATAATATTTTGTCTTTAGAATGAAACCAAGCAGTATTCCATGGGGTAAAGTTGGGGCTGAATATGTAGTTGAATCTACAGGTGTGTTCACTACTCTTGAAAAGGCTAATGTGAGTAAAGGAATTGTTTTATAATCTACTAATGAAATTACTAAAAATCTGTTTAATGTACAATTAAACAGATTTTATTAGTAATTTTTCTGTATAAGTATCAAATTTGCAGAAATAGTTTTTTTATTTTAATTTTTTCTTTTATTATGAGGAAAATTTTGAACATCTTATAGCATTGGATTTTTAACAGTAATTTATTTTATTGTTTAAAATAAAGTGCCCACCAGCGGCTGAGTTGTAAAATCACTGAACATTGGTAGCTCAACCTGCATTTGATCCCAGTTGAATGAGCTGGCTTGCATGGACGTTTTCGTGGTTTTCACCATGTGTGCCGTGTATACGAGCCAGTTTCCCTTAGCACTAGATTGCCGAAGGAAGTCATTTTGACTGCTTTTTAATTTCAATTTAAAAAAATTAAGTATATATAATGACACAATTACTTAGGATTTTGTGACATTTTGTACAACATATAAATGCATTTATTAATAATTGTAGTTGCCTCCCTTCTTTCATTTTTGGTATATATATATATTATATATGTTTTACCTATATTGCCCAAAAGCAGTCATTTTGACTGCTTGGGAAATTTAAAATAATTAAATGACTCTTATCATTGAATCAAGTTAAGTTTCTTTTATGACCAGTTCGGCTCTGTATTAAATTAAGTTTTCATTTTTTCGATTACCATCACATGATAACATACAAGTACATGATAAATTGTCAGTTTGAGTGTATACTTAATAAGTTGCAGTTTCTCAATAAGCTAAAGTAGTGCTTGTTATTCGAATCTCGGTGAACACATTGTTCTGAAACTTGTCAAGCCATATACAAGCTGTGAAAGAAATATCATGACAAATTTTTCACTAGCATGTCACTCGCGACAAAATTATTGGCCAAAAAACAAACAACTCTAGTTGGAACTATTAGAGGAAACAAAAGAGAATATCCAAATCAGCCAAACAAATGAAGGATAACACGCTTCATTTTCCCACTCTGCTATATAAATCAGAGAATTGTCTTCTTACAATATATAAGAGCAAAACCAAATAAAAGAGTAACTGTTCTAAGCATAAGTTTGTGAAAATTGATAAAAGTAATAAAAAAAGTTACCAGAATCCATTCAATTTTATAACAGCACGAGATTTGGAGTTGATATGATGGACCAAATGGCCAGAAAATATGCAGTAAAAGCTAGTTCTCGTAGATGGCCCCTCTAAATATTTTTCAATATTTTATATTTGGTTGCTATAAATGCTTGGATCCTTTACAAAGAAATGACAGGAATACAAATACAACAATTGTTTCAACTAAGCAGAACAACTTTCCATTGAATACAGAGCTGCAAGACAGAAAAGAATCATCGGAACATAAAGACCCATAAAAATCAAATGCAACCCATTCTAACAGATGCAAAATTTGTCAAGTACGACTTGATGACAACAAAACAAATAATATATGTGAAAAATGTCAAAAGTATATTCGCAGATTTACACATAAAAATTTCCACTTTCATTTTGAAAAAATATACACATAATAATGCATAATTATTTTCCCCAGTGAAATAATTTTTATATTGTTAATATTTACTAATAACTTGTTATATAACTGTAAATAATATTAAAAATTTATAAACAAATTTCTTTGCACATTAGTTATTCATATATTAAGTTTCAGTCTTTCTAGTGTTAGTAAGTCCTCCACAAAGGAATCCTTCCTCTTAGGCAGATAGCCCTCAAGTGCTTTGCCATAGTCAAATAAACTAAACTTTTTCAAATTGGGGGGGGGGGGAATGTATGTGTTTATTTCTGGGATATTTGCCAAACATTTGTTACAACAAAACAATTTTGTCATTATAAATGCAATATTTTTTAAATATTTAAATAGAATGAATTTTAAAAAGGAATATTTTTAAGATAAGGTAGGTAGGTGGTGTGTGATGTATTTAATTATGGCAAAGCACACTAGGGCTATCTGCCTAAGGGGAGGGATGCCTTCGTGGAGGACTTTCTGAGGTAAACTGGCTCATATACACGTTACACATGGGGAAAACTACGAAAACGCCCATGCAGCCAGCCCGTTCGCGGGATTCGAACCTTGGACCGAACTACCAGTGTTCAGCGACTTTACCGCTAGGCCGCTGGTGGGCCTAAGATAAGATAGGAATTCTCTACAAAAACTATTAAATATTGCTTTTATTTTTTTTTAACTTGAGCAAAATCTTGAATTTAAGATATTTTTAATTGAAATAAGGATTTCTTTACAGTCTCACATTGAGGGGGGAGCAAAGAAAGTTATTATCTCTGCACCATCTGCTGATGCTCCAATGTTTGTCATGGGAGTAAATCATGAATCTTATGATCCATCTATGAATATTGTCAGTAATGCTTCTTGCACTACTAATTGCCTTGCTCCTTTGGCAAAAGTCATCAATGATAACTTTGGTATAGTTGAAGGCTTGATGGTTAGTATTTCTCCAGTGACTTAATAGTTAAATACAGAATAAATTAACTTTTGTAATTTGATAAATTTAAGTTTTGGCATAGCATGTGGCATGATTTTATCATAGGCATTGTTTCTTGCAATGAATATCATTAACATTCATAAATGAACCTAAGTTTAAAAAAAAAGTGCTAATATTCAATGTTTATGGATAGGTGTTATCCAGTATTATCTTAAAAACTTCATAAAGAATGCATTTAAAATGCTTTTATGTTTAATATCCTGTTGAATTTATTTTTAAAAAAGTATAATTTATACTTTGATTTATCTGCATGAAAAATACTTATGAATCAAGAACTTTTAATTTAGTATTTATTAGTCTATATTAATATTGCAAGTATATTTAATGCATTTTAAAGATAATTTTAAATTATGCAATGTTTAAATATAAAATTATATAAAATGTATTTTATAATCATTTTATTGCCTTGCTGTCTAACTTTCATTTTGATTTATTTCAAATTTAATTTCTTTTACTATAAAAGTTAAATTTCTGGAAGATCTAGGTAGTTATTTATTTAACTTATATACTTTAGGGTAATATTCTATATCTAATGTGTTTTATTTGCAGATTTCATTAAAATTTTATTATTTTCAGATTGTTAAATATAAATTTTGCATGGCATGGGTACTGGCATGTCAAATTTTCATCATATTGCAATCTGTGCATGTCCTTTTTCATGATAGGTTTTTAAATTATTTGCTTCAAAGAATCAGTATATCAAGGGTTAGCATTTAAATAAGTTTCCAAAATTGACTTTTTGCAGTTTGTAACTACATTTCAAGCAGTGTGAATTAATGGTTGATTCATAATTAAACTTGGGTATCATTTTTATAGTGTTGACTATTTCGGAATGTAATAAGATCATTCAAAATGTAAATAAAACCCCTCCTGGTAATTATGAGGAGTTATTCTTGTTTATTCATATATCGGCACCAGAGACCAGCTTTATTAGTTAACATGAGGAAATCTGAGGTAAAAGTACATGTAGTAACAGAAACTTTGCTTAATTATATCTTAGTTTTGATAGAGCATCCTGCAAGATGAAAGATCTTGTATTGATCATCTCTCGCTAGTACCATTTGGAAAGGACTTATGCTGCAGAGGCTATGCAGTTAGTAAATGATCGTGCTTATCCCAGGATTTAAGTCCAGGCTGATTGATATGATAGCTGGATTTGCTAACTTTACGTGAAGTGACATTATTTGTACATAAGAATGTTGGTAACTTTTACTGAACTTTCATAATATGGTGCTTGTGTCTAGTAGTCTGTGTGTTGAAATTTTGCTTCGATATAAAAAAAAATTTATATACCTTCGAATAAGGAAAAGTACAAACATTAAATCGGTGTATAAAATCTTAAGAAATAAATATGTAGTTTTTATGTTTCGTAAAATTTAATGATGTACTTCGGATTTTAACTTTTAAAATATGTTGTTTCACTTGTTTAAGTATTTTTATATATACATGTTTGTAACTTTTACAAGTTAAACAAATAATACACAAGCCTTGCATACTATTTCTATTTTTATTCAGACTACAGTGCATGCCATCACAGCTACGCAGAAGACTGTAGATGGACCAAGTGCAAAGGTAAATTGCATCTAGAAGAAATATTTTTTTAATTAGGTTGTGTAATTAAATTGTGTTTTTGTGTTTCAAATTTTACATCTCATTTTCAATTACATAGATGTGGAGAGATGGCAGAGGTGCTGCACAAAATATTATTCCTGCTTCTACTGGTGCTGCAAAAGCTGTCGGTAAAGTTATTCCTGCCCTTAATGGGTGAGTATGTTAGGGCTTTTTATATGTAGGTATGCATCCTTTAATCATTGTTTATATCTTAAAACATTTCTTGGGCAGTTTCTTTATTGAATATTTAAAATCTAAGTGAAAAGAAATGCTGCAAAATGTTCTTGAATTTCTCAATACTTTTTTGCCCTCCTTTAAGCTCTTTTCCAGTTTTTGTCTAGTATTTTGCATCACTTTTTATATTTAATTTTATTTTCTGCCATAATGAAATATTTAATTGTGTGTATATGGAAAAATTCAACTGCTTTGCTGTTTTTGCCTTTTTATATAATGTATTTTAGTTTCTCATTGTAGTTGAAGTAAATTATAATTTTAAGCATTTTGAAAGTTTAAAAAGTATTTCATAATGTGTAAATGAATGCTTAAAATCTTGATCATGCTGTTTTGTAAACATTAAATTATAAGTAACAGTACTAACCCAGGTAAGCTGATAGGTACCGAAATTAGAAAAGTTTAAATGTGTATTTTTAGTGTGAAGGATGCTGGAAAATATTAAAGCCAGTATTTTCTTTATAGTGGTAAATTATATTTTTTATACGAGTAATTGTATCTGTTTATAAAGTAGGTCTTGAAAATATTCCTTGTAATGAATTTGTCAGGAACATGAATGGTATAAAAAAAAGTACTTCTAGGTTGGCATATTAAGTATTTATGGATGTAAATTGTTTTCTTCAAATGCATATAATAAAGTGACAGTTGCTGTTATAGTTTAAAACAGAATTTCATAAACTGTGGGTTGCGAACCCAAAGGAAGTTGTGGGATCTGCAGCAGGGAGTCGCCAAAAATTTTAGCAATTTTGATATTTATTATTTTACAATTACCAAATATTTTTACACAATGTATCTGAAAATAGATAAAGATAAGACAATACAAACAAAGAAAAAAACGAAAAAGTTTCAACACACCTTTTTTGTAATATAAATGTTCATTTTCCATGCTTTGTACGTGATGCTGTCATTTCGTCTTTTACTTATTTAAAATATTGACATTGTTCTATGTCTTAAAATTAAAAATTAAAGTTAATGACCTAAAACTGCAATAGTATATTACAGTACAAGTGGGAAAAATTGAGTTTCACTCATGCGTGTGTCTGATTTGTGCAATACTTATGGGGTCCCACAAAATCTTTGTGAATATTATGGGGTTCTGGGGGGGGGAGGTTGTGCAAAAATCTTGTTGATAAAAAGGGGTTGCGACAGAAACACTGGTTTAAAAAATAAGTAGAAAAATCTATATTTTATGCATACACAATATGTATTAACTGTAATTGTAAGATGTTTGAAACTTTATACCTTTTCAGAACTATTTTAGCTGTGTTCTAGAAGTACAGTCAAAAATCGTTAATACGGACTCGTTGGGACTTCGGCGATTCAGATTATCGATTTTTCTGGGTTATAGATTATCAGTTTTAATCTGGTAAGATGGCATGCAGAAATCATAAAATTAAAAATATGAAACTGTAACTTATAAAGTAAAGAACAATTATGATCTAAAGGGTATCAAAATTTACAAAAAAAAAAGCTTAATATTTATTTACTTTATTAAACATTTCTTTCAATGTAAGTTTTTTAAGTTGCTTCGTTTTATGTGATAATACTTTCTCTTTAATTCTATAAACAGACGTAATTTCGTGTTCAGTTACAAAGTTCCGCTGTTTAAGTCCTATAATTGCTGTGTCGAGAATACAGACTAATTTGTCAATCGAAATTTTTTCGTTTTCAATAACCTTTGTGTCTCTTTCTTCGCTATCGGAAGGGAATATAATGACGAGGAATTTGATTTAAATCATATCAAAGACGGAGTACATCGAGATGAAATACTACATTTAGTAAGGAATTATAAGCCGAATAAAATAAAAACATCTGTCCTGAAGATAAGGATAGTGCTGACAGATCAACTTCCAGTTCATTGTGCGCTGCGCTGTCCCCCCACCAGAGCAGCATGAAATTGATAAACAGATTTCGGAATGGTTAGAAAAATGAAGGATATGCCTTTATCCATTTTTTCAGCAATTCCACTTTTTGTTTAATGGACTTCGAAACATACTTTCGCTTTGTAGATCCTTTACATATTAGTAAATATATATTGGAAATTCTATTTAATATAATCGAAAGTTCAAGCTTACTTTTATAAAATTGCTCTAACAGTCTGCAAAAAATAATAAGCCGCATCCAATTCGAAGATTAAGGAACGATGCAATCTGCAACATTAACCGAATTAGATAATTTTAGCTTAGCTTATATCTATCGTCCGTTATACATTAAACGCACATGCGCACACGCATATTCGCAGCCGTCAAAGCGACGCATGCACAGAAAGTTTGGAGCTTTGAGGTTCGGATTATGGGTGTCCGAATTAACGACTTTTGACTGTATAAGGTTATTGTTTGGCCCTTAATATATGGCAGGAATAATACAAGATACTTTTGCTTTTATATTGTGTGATGATCGGTACTTTCTAAAGTACTGCCATATTAGGTTTTAAGGTAGATTTAAGGTATAATGAAAGGCTTTTTTAAAGTATAATCAACAGAAGATTAGTCTTTCCTTTAATCATTACCTGGTATTCTTTAATTTTAAGAAAATAAAGGTTGTGTGTTCAAATTTCTCTTTTATCTTGCTGAAAGGGACCTCAATTTTAGTCCATGTTACAATTTGTAGCGTGGATTCTGTAGTTAAATTTATTTTTATTACAGTCTGTTTCTTTATGTATTGATTAAAAATTCATTTTAGGAAATTAACTGGAATGGCTTTCCGTGTTCCTACTCCTGATGTATCAGTTGTGGATCTCACTTGCCGCCTTGCCAAAGAAGCTACCTATGACCAAATTAAGGCTGCAGTAAAGGCTGCATCTGAGAGTGACAACTGGAAGGGCATTTTAGGCTATACTGAAGATGAAGTAAGATAAATTTTTAATATAATAGATAATTTTGGTTAATGTAAAATTCTATGAAAATCTAAATGTGAAAACATGAATTTAGTTTTACAAAATGCCCATTGTTTTATAGCCATATGGTTATCATGGTAGCAATTATTTTTTTTATTAAATATTTCTCAGTCTTGGAGTTTGATTTTTAAACGTTCCAAATTACTTGGTTAGTCTCTACCAGATAGATTAATAAGATGATTATAATTTTAATTTAAAATGGGTATGAAGAATGTTAGTTTAAGAATAAAATACCAGTTTAGAAACCTTTTTTAAACAATACTTGTTAAAAATTTTATCAACTTTGTACTATTAAAATTTTTTGATCATTAAATAGATAAGTGAAAGTTCACTTACCTTCAAAATAGGGCTGCCCTGAACTGCCTTCTTTCCTTCTTGTCGGTATCCGTTTCTATGATGAACTTTGATTCACTGTGAAACACAGCTATAAACTTTTTAAGAAATTTTAATTCATATGAAAGATATCTACAAATTATAATGATTGCAAGCATAATTTATACGGAGACGGTCTATTGTTATACATCTGTTAGACGCGTCAGCCGTTCAACTGACTACTTTTAGTCTCTTTCGTCAGAGGGCGTCCGGGAAGTAAAGTTCTAGTAAGCAAACGCGACACTCCCACCTTAAGGTCCAGTATCAGCAGAGGATGGACCACAACTGACCTGTAGTTCAAGTCTTTTAACATTTCGTCATACATAGAGTTCTGTACCTCACTTGCATATCCGACTCGGGTGTAAAGTTGAGTTCAAGAGGTATGAGGTTCTTAGTAGGTCTTATAATCTCCCCTTGTGCAGTTTTCAGTTTCGCTAATCTAATGTGTCCGTCGTGAGATAGAAAATTTTTCAGGATTCTAGCTAAGGGCCAGTTTATCCTTTTTTCGTTGTTGGACACAATTACAAAAGATCACCATCTTTCACAGAAGATGGTTCGCGAATGAATTTTGAGCTTTGTTTTAGTTGACCTAAATATTCTGATCGAAATCTTTTACGTAAATCTTTTCTCAATTTGGCTCTGTAAAGGTATCTTCTTATTGATGGATTTAGAATCCAAAAGATCTAATTCAGGAACTCCAGTCTCTGGAATGTCCTGTTGGAAACATTGCTGGGGTGAGAGCTCTTAAATCCTTTACGTCTTCTGACAAATACGTGAAAGGATGGTTGTTCATAATGCTCGCGCAGGTCACAAATGATTGTCAACAATTCTTCGTAGTTCAGAGAAGATTTTCCATAGTACCTTTCGAAGAATTCTCTTTAGTAATCCAATTAATCCTCATCACCACCCTCACCACCATGGTGGCGAGGAAGGGGGGAATAAATTTCCATTCAATTTTCTTAACTGTTGCATTTTCTAAGATAGAATTCCAATCAATGGTCTTAAACAAATTTTTTGATTCAACAAAATTGGTTCCATTGTCGGAGTATACAGTGACAGGTCTACCCCTTCGAGTGATGAATCGCCTGAACGCGTGCAGGAAACTTTCGGTTGATAGAGATGAGACTAGCTCTAAGTGAACTGCTCTATATATTGCGCAAGTAAAAAATGACGATCCATGTTTTTTGGCTTCCTTTTAAAATTAAGGGACCCGTCAGATCAACACCAATAATCTCAAAAATTAAAGCATCTCTTATTCTGTCTTCAGGTAGTGGCACTTGAGGAGTCCTATATGAATCAGAGTCGAACCTTCCACATCGTACAGTTTTGGATAACCTTGCGTACTGTCTTCCTACTCTTTATGATCCAATACTTTTCACATAAAGCACACATAACGAATTGTACTCCAGCGTGACTTAGCCTTTCATGTTCAGATTTGATCAGTTTAATACTAATTGAGGGAAGTAAAACTGGGTAACGAAAGTCAGCATCATTGTCTCTCTGAAAGATGCGTGTCTTCACTTTTATAAGGCCATTGGAGTCCATGATAGGTTCTAGAGCATGTATTCTTTTATTTTTCAATCCTTCAAAAAATTCTTGTTGGATGAGTCGGAAAACCACTGTTTCAGCTCCTTTTAGTTCTTAGACTGAAATTCTCCCATGAGTTCTTTCAGATGGTGGTGTTGTAGCATTTTTAATGAATCTAAAGATCCAAGATACAACCTTTATCATCTTTTCGAATTTTGAAATATTTTCAAAAAGGTTAAATTTATCTGTATTCGTGTTTATGCTGCTGGCTGAAACCACAGTTCGTTTTCTCTCTTCATTTACTATATCGAAGTCAGGATGTTCTCCATCTGCAATCGGCCACTCTTCTGGAGGTCGATAAATCCAATCTGGTCCTTTCCACCATTCGGATTTCCTCAATTCCTTTAGCAAAGCAACCGCGAGATGGCAAATCCGAAGGATTGAACTTTCCGGGAATGTGATGCCAATGATCTGGGTTACTTAATTTTTGAAACTCATTCACTCGATTGGCTACAAAAGTGGACCAATTTTCTTTCTGTTTTATCCAAAAGAGGAGCATTTGTAGAATCCGTCCAGTAAAAAACCTGGAAACTCTTTTAATTTCAAGTCTTACTCTTTATTGTATGAGAGAGCCTGGCTCCAATGGTGTAAAGCGAGTATCTCTAGTCGAGGTATGGGTGAGCAATAGGGGGAGCAATAGGGTATAGGGGAGCAAGTCTCGCTTTAGATTGTATCAAGTGACTAAGCACTTTCCACCTCACCACTGTGTCTAAGGAAAATGTAAGTCGCATATGCGTCCTTGCTTGCGTCCTGAAAATGCATGCAGAGTGGTACTTTCGTCTATTTTGGTAAGCAGTCTAGGAATTTTGATGTCTTTCAAATATTTTAACTGAGATGACCATGTGAAAAATTTCCTTGCTAGATCTTTCCGGCAGATTAGTATCCCAGTTAATTTTCTGTTTCCAGCACTCTTGCAGAATCAATTTAGGCAACGAAAGTAACTGGACTAGTAAACCCAGTTGGGTCAAAGATTTTACTCAATTCGGAAAGAACAAGATCTTTTGCTCAATACAGGGTTTTCTTCATATCTTACGTAACAAGTACAAAGGTATCGTCAAACAGTCCCATTTCAATCCCAATACTGACACATCTTCATAATCTTTATCAGAAAGGTTTAGAATTGAAGTTTCATTTTTAAGTCTATTACGTTTCCAACCTCTTAGGTCAAATTTTGCAGTAGCCATTATTTCTGTAGATCCTTTGATAAACGAGTTTAATTCTTCAATTGATTCCACGCTCACTACACATGGCTTTCTTTAGCTTTGATGAAGCTATTTCCTGATGTTGTTTCGGTACATTTTCCAAATGGTAGTTAATCGTGGCAGCGAGTAAAAAGGGGCTGGCGTTTACGCCGAATACAACCCTTTGGTGCCAATATATAGTCAGTTTTTCAGGCTGTCCTTTCTCCCACCATAGGAACCGGAGAAAATCTCGATCCGCGGGATTCACACCTATCTGAAGAAATGCTCTTTTTATATCCGAAATTACTCCATACTTCCCCTCACGAAATTTTGTTAAAATTTTGGGGATCATTTCAAGATAATTGGGACCCTTTTCCAGGCAGTCGTTCAGAGATACCGAATTTTTCTCCTTCGCAGATGCGTTGAACACTGGTCGAATTTTGGTAGTCGAATTTTCCCGAAACACTGCTCTATGTGACAGATATCTTTTCTGCCTCCAAAATATCGATATGTTCAATTATTCCCTCTTCTACCCAATCCTTTAAAACACTTTCGTAGGCTTCTAAGGAATTCTTAGTCTGAAGGGTTTTCATGCAAGACTTCAGACGCTTTTCTGCAAGAATTCTATTATCGGGCAACTTGGGATGAATTTGAAGCCATGGAAGTGACACCTGATATCTTCCAGCATCATCTCTTTCTAAAATACAGATAAAATAATTTTCTGTAGCCTTTTGTATTTCTTGTTTTGTTTGCGAAAGAGCTGGTTCAGTTATTCCGATAGAATCAATAGACCACAAGTCACAAATTTTTCTGTCACTAATGTGTAGTTATAAAAGAATTTCATTAAAATCCATTCCCTTTACCTTCGTTCTCCCTAATATTGTCCAACCAAGGTGTGTATTCATCGCTACTAAACTCTTCGTTACGTGTTTTATTTACCCTGTAAAGAGTTTTCCGGCATAATCTGCTCCTACAAGCATGTGTATTTCGTTAGGGTGTTTTTCAAATAAAAAAGAATTCTCATTAGTTACATCACTGGGAAAAATTTTGTAACCTCTAAGTTTCTTTAAGCATTCCCTATCCTTCAATTTTGTGTTTCGCAATAGGCCTGGTTTCACACAGTTTGTTATGCTTTTGCGACTCCACCTTTGGCTGGACCGTCTGGAATGTACGTTCCCGCGTAACTAACTGTTCAGAAAAAAATTCCACTAGGTGATTCAAATCGTAATTTGATTTTCAAACTGTTTTATTATATTCCAAAACCAAATCTGCGGGCAATGTTTTAAGCAAAATAGGTATTAATAAAGCTCCATATGTTTCTGAGGTCATATTTAATGATTCAAGACATCAAATATGTTTCTGTATATAATTGAATAACTTACAGAAATTTTGAATGTCATTAGAATCCTTTAGAGGTCTTATTTTCAGTAATTTATCTATATGGGCGTTTATCAGTACATCTTTATTTCCAAATCGTTCTGTGAGGAGTTTAACTGAAGTTTCGTAATTTTCTTCGGTTAAATCGAAAACGTCAATGGTGTTATAAGCAGTACCTCCCAAAAAGGATTTCAAATAATTAAATTTGCTTATGGCGTCAAGAGTTTTATTTTGGTGTATGGCTGATGGAAAAAGTGTTCCAAAATGTCAGCCATTCGCAGCTCTCGCCATAAAACTTCGGAATCGTAAGTTTAGGAAGCTTCACATTATGATTTTCGATTTTAACATTTTCTATAATACTTTCACTTAACTGTTCAGTGCTTCTTAACACACTTAAATTTTGTTGTTCTATATTAATTTCTTTCAATTTTTTGT